TGATCAAAACCCATTAATCGCTTCATGTTTTCTACTTTCAATAGCCTTGTCTCACAGCCGTATAACATAACAGGATGGACTGCAGTGAAGTATATTCGTTCTTTGATATATACTTGGATATCTCGTCGGTGGGTGCAAGAGATAATACAAGTTGAAAAATGCCAACGCTTTTGTCATGGTGACACTAAAGACTCAAGGCTATCAGAAACAATCAACCACACAGAAACAGTTATTTGCTTCTAAAGCTTTTCCCTCTGATAAACTTATATCAGTTTCATGTGCACATGAGTGTTTCATTGGTAAAGATTTCTAGTTCACCCCATTAGACAGTCAGTTGACTTACTTCATGAAGGACTATGCCAGGAAGGTAGAAGAAATTCGTGTAACTGATGAAAGATTTAAATGAAAGAAAAAGTCTTCCTCTACTTACAGTTTACTCATTTTAAGAATTAATTGAAGATGATCGAGGCATTGTAGATTCAGTGAAACTGATGAATTCTTAAATTCTGTTGATGAAATACCCATGACTAACTGCAATAATATGCAGAAGACGCCAACTAGTCATCGTAATCTTATGAATAAGTATTCTCTCGGCCATGAACCTTGTTGAGTTAATAACTTTATGTGCAATGTAGCATTTTAAAACTTCGTTTATCACTTCTTAAAGATTCTATTATTCGTAGGACTAAACACTTAACTTTCAACCAGTTTATTGTAATTCAGGTATAGCTCCACTTATTACTATTTGAGTAGCCAGAAGTTATTGTTAGGGTTCACATAATGATTGTATTTTATCATGTAGTGGCTAAGCACGTACATGATTGATGGAATGTATTCATTCCCAATCCCTTACCTTGTTAACCACGACATTTAAGTAGTTGTCATGCTATCAACTGTACGTAATAAAAGTTCAAAGGTGTATTTCTTTGATACAACTGCAGAGAATGCAGTTATGGAACTTAAAAGATGATTAACTAGTAACAACAGAATGTTTGACGAATGAAAAAGATACTGGGTGATGGTTGAAGGTAGGGCTATTAACTCAGTGGTCACTGGTTTGAATCCAACCGCAATCCAAATTTCCATTTCACCTTCAACCAATATCAATACTAGTCTGTTAAACCATGACTACCTCCTATAGTCAAAATGAGAATGAAAGCGACTAATCTTCACTGAAGACTTTGAAAGTCGATAAACGGTTGTCAAGTTACACTAATGTTGATCATTCTAAGGGTGAAGGAAAATCTGCTTAGTTAATCAAACTGAAAACTATACGGAATAGTTACTGGTTACTGTTCGGTGAATGATTAATATACACATCACATTTGCATAAGCGATCAGTCATTATTTGACTGTCTTATTAGTGAAGGTATTCTCTGAACACAAGAACTTTTGTTCGCTTGATTGATACCATCTTACTCTCTTGGCTGTTTAATTTTTATTCAACTCTAGTATAGTCTTATTACTTAAGATGAATTGTAATGATGGGCAGTGGCTAGCAGTGGAATCCACGATGCACATTTCGTCCTATTTGGGACTCGTCAGCTGGATGTACCTGCCTCCCAGTGAATGATGTTGTTCTCACCGAGAGCGATAGCACTAAACCTATACCCGCCGCACAGGAAGTGGCTATCGTGGCTCGGTGGTGTAGTGGATAACGCCCTGGTGTTTGAAGCGATCGCTCCCGAGTCCAAGTCCCGGTGGGAACAACATCACTCACTGGGAGGCAGGTACATTCAGCTGACGAGTCCCAAATAGGATGAAATGCGCATCCTGGATTCCACTGTCCATCATAACTATACATAGTTAAAAGACAGGCAATATCGAGGAATCCACACAAGAGCCCATATGCCAAGAGAGACTGATCAATTCAGTCCAATCAACGACGGTGTAATACAAGCAATAACATTAAGATGAATTATTTAGAAGGGTTGGTTGATTAGTGCATTTATTCACACAAGTAGTTAACACAGAAATGTCATTTAGTTATTTGGAAGCAATAATAGTGAAATTTCAAGTTGTTATTCATCGAAGACTGACATCAGTTGGAGGAACAAAGGAAACCTGGGAGCACTGGACAGCTGTTTCGTCCTGCGCTATATCGTGAGCTAACAGAAGTTGGAAATATGGAGCATTGGATTCTGACCCAGTGGCTCAATGGTAACGCGCTGGTCGCAGAACCTGAAGGTAGCGGGTTCGATCCCTGCTGGTGGGGTCGTGGGTGCGCACTGCTGAGGAGTCCCATACTAGGACGAAACAGCTGTCCAGTGCTCCCAGGTTTCCTTTGTTCCTCCAACTGATGTCAGTCTTCGATGAATAACAACTTGAAATAATTCCAAATCTCCACAACCCCTCAAAATAGTGAAATTGTCGAAGAAAGCTTACGTAACAAATTCTCTATGACACAACAACGGAAACTTCACCATTAAACCAACCAATCAATAAAAGGTAATACAGCCGATTTGATCTATTTGAACTACAAATCTTGTCAACAACAGTTTTTTTTGTTTCCAGTATAAACGGAGTACGATTAGACAGTTCGGATAAATGACCAAACACCTACTGGACTACTTCGGATAGTGAAACAAATTACTGAAGGGTATGTTTTAGTTAGATAGTCGTCACGCTGACCTTCAGGATTTTTCATGCATTGTTAAAATGACCTAGTGGTGTTAAGTCATGTATTTGATTGAATAAGACCACTTCTTTAGTTTTGATTGAATTCTTCTCAAAAGACACTCTGTCTTCATGCCAACCTTCATCCTTCAAAATGTATCTTGGTAAGTGAAGGATTGAATAATTCTTTTCGTCCATTAGGAGTGGTTCAAACCTTTATCAACCTCATTCTACAGCTATATGATGAAGCCACATGTCAAGTGACATATAATGGAAAGTTCAGTAATGCCTTTGAAGTGAAGATAGGAGTAAGACAAGGTTGCCACATGCTATCACCGATTATCTTCCTGATTGTGGTGTGGTGAACTGGACTGGACAGGGTTATGCAACAAACTGTGAGGAGTGAGAAGAGGAGCATACGCTGGCTGGACCAATGAAAACACCCTAGAAGATCTGGATTTCCTCGATGATTAATGTCTAGTGTCACATAAACTCGAAGATCTAAAGGCAAAAACTAACAGATTGACAGAAGAGGCAAGACGGCGAAGACGTGACTTCAGGTGAACATAGAGAAGACAGAGATGATAAAGATACCCAACCAACAACAGCATCAACAACAAGCATCAATCACCATCAACGAGAAAAACCTAAAGGGAGTAGTCTCTTTCACCTACCCAGGCAAGGGAGCATCTTTTCAACTACAGGTGGCAGTGGCATGGATGAGAACGTCAAAGCCAGGGACGGAAATACAGCAAGACATGCCTTTATTAACCTGAAAGCAGTGTCGAGATCTACTGCACTCAGCATAAAGTGTGAACAACATCCGGATTTTCAACACTAATTCAGTCAAGTCAGTGCTGCTAGACGGTTCCGAAAGTTGGCGCGTTACGAAAGGCATTCCCAACAAACTACAGACATTCATCATCGTTACTGAATAATAAGAATAAGCAAGGAGTAACTCTGGCTGTCTGGCTGGCAGCGAACCAACCAAGAACCCATCGCGTAACAAACATGCAGTGGAAGGAGGTGGAGATTGATTGGACATAAACTGAGAAGGCCAATTGGGGACATAACCCCCAAACAAGTTCCTCGAGTGGAATCCAAAACGGAGACGACGAGTTGGGCGTCCGACGCTAGGGTGAAATGGAGGAGATTGTGTGAGGAAGAAATGAAAGCTTGTGGGCAGATGTGGAGCCAGATTGGAAAGAGTGCAGGGAAGAGAGTGAAATGGTGAGGTGCTACTGAAGCCCTATGTTCCACTAGGAAACCAAATGACAAATAATAATAATGATAATAATAATTAGGATTGGTTATCAGATCACTGTGGTTTTCTCAAAACACCAAACAGCTATCTTTGGTTCATGCTGGGAACTAGTGAAGCAAACCTGGCTTAGAAGCTGATATGATGAAGAAAAGTCAATCATAAATCCCTTAATCTCACGATAGTCGCAAGTAACACTCAGAGATTGACATCCGATTAACATTTGAGTCTAGTCCAATAACCTGGAAACTAAGAGTCCGAACTCTTCTCTATCCTGAATTTTCTATAAGATTTATCGAATAATCACTCTGTATGTAAATACAAGTCAGTATATTTAATTGATGAATGCAGCACACTTTTTGTTCTTTGACTCTACAATGAGTTTTCCATGTTTAGAAATTATTTGTGTTGCTTAAACTGCCTTCATCATTATATATTACCAGAAAAGGATAATGCGAAGTTTGCACAATAGGTGGCTGTTGTGACGAAGTAGTCTAGGGAGAACCCACTGGCATTTGAAACAGTGGGTCCTGGATTTAAGTTTCAGTGGGGACAACATCACTTACTCAGATGCAGGTACATCTAGCTGATGGGTCTCAAATAGAACGAAACGTACGTCCTAGATTCTAGTGCTAGCCATCAAGTACTCAGCAACATAATAAGTAATCGCGCAGTGTCGAGGCATTTTCCAGCACAAGTCAATAAACAAATCATCCATGATATTTTATAGCATCAAACATGCACTGTGTTACTGTCTTGGTTACATGCTTCCATGTAGTTTTACAAGCTAGGATGCAGGCAGTGAGCAGCCATGAATGACTTCTGTTCGACTTATATATGCACACGTAGTTCATCAGATAAGGTAAGCAAAGCAGGAAGCAAGTCACCTTCCTTGAGGAGTAAAAATCATCTCAACATATTGGTATATTTATCTTGAAAAAAGTTAAAGTAAGGCAGTATGCCAATATTAGGTTACTGGAACCTTATCATTAGATGACACAACCTATTGAATGAAAGCATTGTGCTTGTGCATACTGTCTGAATATAATCCTCCTCAATATTATCATGACAAAGTGTAAAAGAACTATAGAACTCAAGTGAGTCCATTTAGTAATTAACTTACTTGCTTGTTTTATCTATTGTTTCATTGCTTTTATTCCTCTCCACATGTATTCCAACAAATGACTCATTTTCATTTATATCTGCTTGAATAACCTGTCTAGTTGACAAACCTAATGACGGTGAAACTTCAGAGTGAGATACATGTGACGGTATCAGTGTTATTGTTGAGGTAGGCGAAGTTGTTGTTGTCATAGTTGTCATTGTTCCAATTGTTGTATCTATAGCTCGATCACGTTGTCTACGGTTTTTAAACCAATTCGATACTTGTGTTATTGTTAATCCAGTTATCTCAGCTAGCTGACGTTTATCTCTAGGTGAAGGATAAGCATTCTGATGATACCATTCTCTTAGTAGATTACGTGATTTCTCTTTAAAACAATAACTTGTCTCTTCACCATCCCAAATTGTATGTGGTAAGGGGAACTTACGTCGAATTCGGTATTTAGCTACAGCACCTAATGCTCTACCTTTCAATTTCTCCTCTTCAGCATAATGTGCACGTAACCATAAACTCTGTAGTCGTGCATGATATGTTGGCGAAAAATTACGACTTTCAAGTATATGATATAACTGAGTATATTGTTCATGATGAAAGGAGATGAGTGCTTTAGCTACTTGGACACATTCTAGGTATTGTAAATGCGTATTCCATTTTGGTAAAGTTTGTAAAAATATCTCCAATCGGTCAATATCTCCGCGTTGTTGTAGTGTCTCACAAATACAGATAATTTGTACTTCATTAAAAAAGTAACTACTTGTATTGTTATCAGTAGTACTAGTTGTTGTTGATGTTGTAGTAATAGTATTAATGTGTGTAAGGGTATCAGTAACAGCTCCAAAACTATTAATATTATTATTTTTCTTTGATATCTGTTGATCATAATAATTACCATGATCATTACTAGTATAATATTGTTCATATTCATAATTTGAATTATAATGTAACTGATGAAGTGAGTTCGTTGAAGATGAAACATAACTATTGACATTACATTCATTAGGATAATTCACTGTAGCAATAGAATAACACGGTGTATATTCTAAGGATGATAAATTAGAAAATTTCCCATGAGAATATAACTCATTGCTAGATGTATTCACATGTAATGGTAAATTACTACTCACTGAATTATGAGTAGTATTGATAATAGTAGTAACTGTAGCAGCAACAACAGTATTAGAAGTACCTATATTTGTATCTGTAGTATAAATAATCGGTGTATTAACAGATGAAAAGAATGCATTCTCTTCATTATTGCTGTTATTATTATTGTGATGATGATGATGATTATGATTAAGGATGGTATTGTTAACGTTCACAACTTTGTGCATAGTTCTTTTTATGGTATTCTTTGTGAATTTATTTTATTTTCAATGTAGTAAGTTAATACTCTTCCTTTCTTTTTTTTCTCTCTCTCTCTCTCTCTTACTCTAAACAAGAAATGTAAATGTAATCCAATCCATCATCTAAAGTAGACCTACGATACTGTAATAAGAATATCTTACAGATGATCTTTCAACTAGACTGTAAGATGAGTAGACCAACACGATTGTATTAAAGAAATGAAAACTATCAGCTATTCGATTTCATAAAAGTGTTTGTACACATACACACACACACATACACATCTATGACTGATTGTGAATATGTTTATTGACTTGTGAATGCTCATTTATTCTTTGTTCAGTTTGCTAACCACTTGTTTGATGATGATGACGATGATGATAGGCTTAAATAAAGTATGTATATGGATGTATATACGCGCGCAGGTGTACAGATATGGATGCACTAGCCACCGGCACTCTGACTCCAAACCATTACTAATTATGACTATACTAAGGTATAGGCAATTCTATGAGACTAGAAAATATGGACAGAAATTCATATTTTTCACTATCTCACACACTTTTTTCCCCCTTGTAATATAACAATTTGTATCTGAAGGCATCTGTAGAGGGAGGATGAATAATCTAGGTCTGATATTGGTTTTAAATTTCTTTACTCTCTAATTTCGGTTTTAAGTTACCTGGGCAACAGTGTTATACAAACAAAAAACACATTTATACATATATACAGTTAATACGCATAGACACCTGTTTATAAATTTCTATCTTAACTCCCCCCTCCCTCACCCAGATTATTTCTTATATTTCACTGTTTATTTCACTCATTTTTGCGTATCCCTTCCTTATTATTGGAAGTGTGTTTAGATGAATAGTAGGTTACATGTGTATGAGAATATGTTAACCACCTATTTTTCATTGGAACAAATCAAAACAAGTGTAGGCAGATTAACAAATGAAGAAATTTACTTATTCTGTCTCTCTATCCATCTATTTCACTCTCTTCTCTATCTTTATCTTATCTTTCTATTGGTTGTCAAGTATTTTCACCGCGTGAATTGCGGATATTTTAAAGTGTTGATATGTTTCTCAAATATTGATAGTATGGAATTTATAGTTCGGTTGCATGGATGACGAGAAAATCGAAAAAATTGTATAAACCTGTTTTATTGATCTCAGATAGGTATTCATCATGGTTTGACATCAGTTAAAAAAAATATTTGAAACCTTGGAGCATTGGACATTTGTTTAGGCAATATGCGCTCATGGCCTCTTTAGGGATAGAACTCATGACCATCAGGATTTATGATGAATGTGTTAACCATACAACCACTAGGTTGGAATACAATGGTCCACAGTTACCTACTTCTATCAGGATTGGTGATATAGCGTGATTATTACCGAGGAGTCCCACTCTAGAATGAAACACCTATCCAGTGTTCCTGGGTTTTCAGTAAGGGAAACCACTCTGAAATACGTTCTTTTTCATTCGATAAACATCATCCTGATTATATTAAATTGGTAAAGTTGCAATATTCCTAATTACTGAATGAAAAGAAAGAAGAAATGTAGGAGATTTTTGAGACAACTGCTTGTTCCAGTTACCGATCAACTTTATACCCTCCCTACCTATGACAGAGATCTGTAGTTGATAAGCTGTCCTCATAGATTCAGTTGTACCCACATTTATTTGAAGAAAGTGTTCCCATAAGATGATATGGCACTGAAGCACGCTATGTTTAGGGGATTAGATGCAACACGGACAGTTCAATGGTAAGGTTTATAGTTTGCTCACGACCAAGTAAACATGAGTCTCTTCAAGGTCATAGACACACTTTGCCGAGAAGTATGAAATCCAGGTCGATAGCCACCTGCTGATTGACTCTCGACGTCTAACACCGAGATCCACTGTGTTGTAACCTCTTATCACTTACCTTGGTGGTCATATAACAAAGCAAAATGATCGAGTTTGATCAATTCTGAGCACTTGGGGATTGACAACCACATTGGTTATCATCCATTGGCGAATTCCCATATATACTGCAGTCCTACAACACGTCATGAAATGCTTAAGTCTCCAAAGAAAAGCGAGATTTCTCATGGTTGCTGAAGTGTTTTACTAATGAGTGCCATTAAGTACAAAGCCAAAGTTGAAGGCGCCATACCAAGTGATTCATAATATCTAAAGCCGAAAACTAAGTACTGCTTAACAGACAAGCTCAGTGTTTACGTTTATCATACTTCGGTGTTGTCACTGGGAAACTCGGTATTTATTTCTTCTCATTGCCTACAAACATAGTAACGTAACTATAAGCACTAAGGGGAAGTGGTGATTGTATTCACTGGGCAGGATGAAATAAACAGGCCTTCCTTCCCTTATATTTCAGATTTTGGTGGATACTTTCCAGTGGAGTATTCATGAATTTAGTAAAGTTCCTCAATCAAAGTATGATAGTGGTAATATTTCCATATAAAACAATGATCCTTGGAAGTCTTAATTCTGCAAGCATCATGAAGACCATTGCTGATATGAATGGGATTATTCAGCAATTGTTATGTGTTAAAGAATTCTGAAAACCAACCAACCAAGAACCCATCACCCAACAAATACACAGTGGAAGAAAGTGGAGATGGATATCCGACGCGAGGGTGACATGGAGGAGATCATATGAGGAAGTAATGAAAGCTTGTGGGCAGTCGTGGAGCCAGGTTAGCAAGACTGGAGGGAAGAGAGTGAAACGGTGACGTGCTACTGAAGCCCTATGTTCCACTAGGAAACCAAATGACTAATAACAATAATAATAATAATAATAATAACGGATTCAGTACCACTGTCATGTATCCAAATTTAACAACTTCACTTCCATAGATTTTAATCATAGTAGGAACAACATCTCCCACTGGAAGGCAAGTATATCCAGCTGAAGAGGCCCAGATAGAATGAAATGGATTTCACTGCTAACTACTATCCAACATTTAATAATTAAGCACTAAAACCTTTTTCAAAGTAGTGGGACTAAAACCAGATCATCTGAACAGATTATCCGGGATGCGATTACCTGGAAGAATCCTTCAGCCTTAGTCTTTTCTTAGATTCAATCGTTATCTTCATAATTTTCTTCTATTGACACATATATTTCATTAGAATAACGTAAATTTACAATTTCGTTTATTCGTAATACTTATAAGTGTAGTAGTAATGGTCATAGGCTAAAAAGTAACACTTGAAATTGAATAAAAACGATTGCATGTAACAATTTCAATTAATTAATTAAGCAACAGGTTTTTATGATCAAGATTTTATGACTGACATCAATTACCATAGATTATCTTTGTAGAATAAAGAAAAATTTATTACCGTGTCAGATTATTAGAAAGAAACTAAAATAATTTAGTGTATCAATATTCTTCACATAAAAATTCACATGATTTTTGTTAAAATAATAACAGATCACTTGAACACCTTGTTTAAAACTACTTTTATTTACGGTAACTATAGCAACCAGTATTTGACTGGTAAATTTGAAAAAAGAAATTTATCCACTTTTAATTGATGATATCATTAGAAGTTGTTGTGTTTTATTGAATGTATATATCTTTTCATATGTTTACACTGAATATACTTTTCATCTATATAACTTGAAACGTTAAACCAATAAGAAGGAAGAATTTCTCTTTCTGGAAATTGTTTGAATTAATCAGTGATGGAGGAATTTAAACTCATTTCTGGTCAATTAAGGATGAACAGTATTCATCTTGGGGGCTAGAAGTGGAATCTAGGATATACATTTCATCCAGTTTAGGACTCATCCACTGGAATCCAAACTCAGTACCTATGGCTTCAAACGGCAAAGCGTTATCTATTAGGACACCAAGTCATAAACATCCACCTTTTATTCAACCGGTATCAGTTTTAATTTGATACTTGTAATTTCTCGTTTCTATACTGTTGCAAAAAAGAAGTGGCTATCTTGCTCCAATGGCCTAGTGGATAACGCTTTGGCGTTTTTAACGATGGGTATTTGGTTAGAGTCTCAGCGTGAAGAGCATCAGTTATTGGAGGGTAGGTACATACAGATGATTAGACCCAGGTAGGACAAAACGCATGTCCTAAACTCTACTGCAAGTCACCGGACTGATTACAACATAATGAATATTCGGTAGTATCGAGGCCTTCATATAAGAGCCCATTTACCAATACAAGCCAAGTAAATCTACCCTGTATAACAATGGGAGGTTATAAGTATCAGATAGAACAAGTTTAGCCTCCAAAGACGAAATTTTCGTCGATAATTTTCTAAGTTTCACTGACTGAAGCAATTTGGACACAAGTCACACATACAGAATGACAAACTACCTTGACACTAAGTGTAGTGTCAATCCTAGCGTGATGACGTTGGAGGAAAGCAAAGGCTTGTTAGATTAAGTTCATGTAGTTCATGATTGTTGAGCTAGGTAGTGTAGGGTTTTTGACTAAGATTCTTAGGATAATATGCATGAGTGGTCGGAAATTCTCACTAATACTGTTCACATTCATTCCCAAAAGATATAGGTTCATACAGACTTTGCCATGTTGGAAATTTCAAGGCTTTTTTTAACCATCTTTTGTTCAGAAGTAGTATTCATCATGGACTGACATCAGTTGGGGAACCATTGAAAATCTGGGAGCACTGGACAGCAGTTTCGTCCTCCCCAGAAGTACGCACCCACGACCCGGCTAGAGATCGAACTCAGGAACTTCAGGTTCTGTATACAGTAATGTATACAGCAAAACACACTACTGTATAGTGCTCATTAGTAACTTGCTTCCAGATGGATATCAGGAAGCTGTAATGAGAAGCCGTGATCTGCAGGGTCAACCAGTCGCAAGTGAAGTGGATGCTAACTGAAGACCTTGGGTGATAGTTGCCCTATGTAGTGGATTGACAGAAGCTGGAAACTGTAAACCACTGGGAATCGATCCAGTGGCGTTCACCGTGGGGGCTGGAGGTCCTGGGTTCGACCTCCAGCCGTACTGCTGAGGGGTCCCATACTAGGATGAAATAGCTGTCCAGTGCTCCCAGATTTTTAATGGTTCCCCAACTGACATCATTCCATGATGAATACTTCTTCTAAATTAAAAATCCCCATTCATCTTGAAAATACAACACTTTTGTTCATATAATTCTTTTTACTGGCATACGCTTAATCTATTTAAGTGATCGTCTTTTTTTCTGACCACTTTTGTTTAGATATGGAATAAAATGGGGAGAAATGAATTTATACGTTTCTCTGTCGGATTTCATTCATTTATCCATCTGTTTCACTCTCTCATCTGTGGAATTTGTAAATCATTTGAAAATTGATCACCGTATTTTAAGTATACTGATCCATGGAAATCAGCTAACCAGCCAGGTACAGATGATCTGAACTAATTCGGCTCTATAAGCTGAATTTGTTTGAGTACACTACTGATGTGCTGGCTCGGCCTCAAACGAACGGAACA